CTTGATTCGAACTATGGTAGCTGGGATAGTCTCCAAAAACCCTCCCTCCACTCCCTCAGGACCCTGAATCGGTTAGGCAGACAAGAATGGAAGGAAGCGTAAGAAATCAGAGGACTTTGGCTCTCAGACTCCAGAAAATATCTTCACATATTTTCTCATGTAAAAAAATAGAAATGACTATGACCACACCAAGTTTAGATTGAGGCTTTAAATGCTGCACTGAGCAACATTTTACCATCTTCCCAAAGAAGCTTCACCTTCTTTATCTGTAACAACAACAAGATCTCACAGCTCACGACAACGCTGCGAGCATCAACCACAAGCGCAGCATGAGCTAGTCAGATACTGCAATCTAGACAGCTACAGAAAGGTGGTGCAGCTGTCTAGTTTGCTTTTTGAAATACGACTTTGTAGAAAGTATGACATATTTGTGGTATAATAGTTTTGTCTCAAGTCAATCTGATACAAAAAGCCACACCATGACTCAAACTTTAAGCAGAGGTTTTGGATTTGCAGCACACAAGTATCAGTCTGGCACATTTGGCTGCAGCCTGCAGTGTCTGTCACAAGAATGCATGTGCGTGCAAATGTATGTGCACACATACAAATGCACGCACACACTCCTCTATCCTGTACCAGCAGATCCCGGAGACCTCTAATGCTGTGTGACTGCAATCCCCAGGGATTCTTTCTGCACTACTGGATGAGCTCCCCTGCCTTTGTGTTAAGACATCAGGGAATCCCTACATTCGCTTGCTTCTCTCATTCTTTATTTGCCCATTTGTTCCCCTCACAACCCCCACAGCGGGTGTGCTGCATGAAGGTTCGGTTATCATCACCGAGGTACCCTGCTCGAGACTACGATACAACAGCCTCAAATGATAACCGCACCTATTGCTTAGAGGAGCCGAATGAACCAATTTAGGGAAGCGTCAGTATGACAAATTACAGTACGGCAGGATAATTTCTTACACTGCAATGGCTTGTTGTTTATGAAGGAAACAGCAGTGTACATTTTGGATCTTTCACATTGGCCTTTAGGGGTTCATAATAAAAAATTATGCAATATATGAGCTCATTAGCTCAGCAGTGTTGTTTAAATCTACTCAGTGGACGGGGCTGACAGATGAAAACGTTGCCAGTTCTCGTCTGAATCTACTTTGTCAGTGTTAAGTAGCCACTCTGGACAGCAGCCAACCCTGTCTGAGGTCTAAGAGCCACTTGGGAAAGTTGAATTGGGCTTTTCTATTTTCACATTATACAGGCTGTTAAGATGTAACACTTGAGGCCAAATAAGAAAAGTAAATACAATTTAATTATGGATCAGCCCACATGTCTGACCTAAGGAGCAAACTTGCTCCTCATTTCAATCGGTGCTTCAAATATTTTTTTTTTAAATCAAATATTGCAAATTCAAACAAGTGACAAATTAAAAAAAGAAAAAGAAAGAAAAAACTGTTATTTTGATTACACGAGAAAGAAATTAAAAAGGTTTTTTTTCACCAGTTGTGTAAATACCATTAGGTGATTTCTTGTTGCTTGGATATTTCAAAAAGTGTTCAACTTCATCCTCTCTAAATCAAAAATTATTTAGCACTTAAAAAAAACAACAACCCATCTACAAACAAATAATTCACTCTGGAGCCTAAATCACTGATGAAAAAATGAACTATTCTTGAGTGATAGCTCACTATTACGCTGTTGATTCAGACAAAACAAGGCAATCAGAAAACATCCTTTTTGCCACTTTTTCCTCAATTTTCTGTCATTTTGTATCCCGAAACAAAAACACACAAATATGCATTTGAGTCACCGATGATTACTTATTCTCCACGGCTGAGGCCCCAAATTGATGGAAAGCCAACCAAGCATAAAATATTAATAAATAAATCCTGCATACATCATGTTTTCCTGTTGGTAGCTGAGCAGAGGGTTTGTTTTTTTTACATCCTGCAGCTGACAACATTTCAACCACCAAATGGAAGAAGAACTTCTCATTTCTGAATCACCCACATGCACCTCTGCTCATCTCAAGCAAAACCCACCTCTGAACAGCAGAATGAGGTCAGCCCGTTTCTTTATCAGCGCAGCCAGAGTACAATGAGCACTGTGTCACACAACCAGCCCAGCCTCCATACATTCAGCAGCATCCCGAGGCCACTGCTGTGCGCCTGTCACCTTTACGGTGAAATCCCCATGAAAAGACCTGGTGGGATATCCTGGTGACTCCGCGGACAAGGTCATCACTAATTACCGTAGGCTAAAACTCGGTTTATTATAAGAATAGGATGAAACAGCCTTGTTACACGGTCACTTCTTGTCACATCAAACCCAGCTCAGATCACTTGATCTAAACACGCATTGTTTGTGCTTTATTTATGTTTCACATCATCTTTAACAGCTCTTGGGTCTGCTGGAACAAGTTCAGCAGTGCAACACATTCTCAACAGGTTATTAAATTAACGAACAGGTAAATCTACCGTCGAAATCAGCGGAGGCAAGAAGGGAAATACCAGCTTTCTGCTGCAATGCACCTGCCCAAACGCGCCTAACTTTAGGTAAGAAGCGGGGCTGTCTGGACCCACTGATGTGTGCTGAGTCCTCTGAGGTCGTGATGGTGGACGGAGAGAGCCCCCTCCCCTCCTCTTTCGTCCCCGCAAAACAAGGAAAAGGCACAAATAAAACATCAGGAACTGCGAACAAGCTGCACTGCTGACCATATGTGCCGTATGCAACGCGCCGGTGTTTCAGCGTCCCGGAGCGCTGCCGGCTGACCTGCAGAGCGGCGGTGTCTTACCTGGTGTGCTCGCCTTTCACGGTGAGGGTCCGGAGGGGGGTGAGCACGGCCGGCTGCGGAGTCAGCCCGAGAATCATGAACCGTGTGAGAGCCTGTCGGTGCGCCTCAGCACCGTCTGAAGGCAGAGATCCACAGCCAGGGTGTTCCCGACAGGAGGGGGCGTGGTGTGTGTGTGTGTGTGTGTGTGTGTGTGTGTGAATGAGAGAGCCAGAGAGAAAGAGAGACAGAGAAATGGCTCTTTTCTGACAATGCGACATTCATTCTTTTTCTTCTTATTGTCCGTATAAATTAAACTTTAAAGGGCAAGTCGGTTCATAAAGCGCACACTGCAGTGCAGATCTAGGCTGAGGGAAACTCCCACTTGTCACTGCTACATTATGTATTATGGATTTCCCTGCTGGCATCCTCTGGGAGTCTGTATTTCTGTGGTAATGGCCGCAGGAGATGCCTGCTGTAGAGTGACTGTTTATTTACTAGTCTCACGAAGGACTGGGAGGGTTGATTATCTTTGGATAAAACACACAAATCAATATTAACAAGGCACACAACTTGTTTATGTCTGTGTGCCGCACACCTTTTGGTAAACAGTGCAGGAGTCTGAAATAAAAAGGATTTCTGGTTACATATAAAATGTCAAACACAATCTGACTCATCCATCCACACACCAAGCAGCTGTATTTGTCTGTTTTTGTACAACACACTGAGCAATCAGCCGCAAAATGGAAGTGAACTCTTTAATATAGTAACTCGTTAAAAAAACAGAACACCTACTGGGATCATTTGAAGGGTTAGAGATATGACTGAATAATAATTTAATCAAATTAAAAATGTTGCAACAAATCTGAAAAAATTAACAAATGCTTTTTGCCAGTCTGTGAAGCTGGGGGTCAGACACCCACCTTTACCCACAGCCCAGCCTTCATTGCTAGGCTCAGCCTTAGAGATGGCGCCGAGTTGAGTCGCTGCTCATTTGGCTCAGAAGGAGCTGCTTGAGGTGGTTCCCTCTGGAGGTTTTTCAGATATTTGCCCAACCTGGAAGAAACTCTGGGTTAGATCTAGAACCGACTGGGAAGGTCATTTATCTCATCTGGCACTGGAACCCCTCGGAATCCTGCAGGAGGAACTGGAAAGTGTTGCTGAAGAAGGGCGTCAACAACATCCTGTTTACCCTGCTGCAAAAAGTGACCCAAGGTCAGATAAGAGGAAGATAATGGATGGATGCTTAGCCATCATACCATTAAGCAAATGAAAATAATGCAGTATGATTGTTTTACAAGTAGGCTACAGCAAAATCCTATATGTAAAAGTAAAAAATGATCAGTCTAATAATTATTCTAATCAATTAGATCATTTGGCTTTTGTGCAATCTTCTTTGTTTCTCCCCCAATACTTGTTCTTAAGTTTTATCAATGAACACCAAACAGTTTAACACACACACACACAAAACAAAGTTGTGTGTAGTCTTTTCATTCCCAGTAACAAAGGGTAACACTTGGCTCAGAAGCTTTGATCCAACTGTGTAAAATACACTTTCTGGCAGTTACAAGGAACTTCTCCAGAAGGCTTTAATGCGCTGTGGTTGGGGAGGGGAGGCTTAAGAGGAAAACGCCAGGATTTTAACATTTTATCTTTATTTTAAATATCTCATTATGTTCTTTGGAAATCATTGTCCAGAACTTGGAAATCAATTGATGCTTCCTCCCTATCAGAATGGCACTTAATGCACAGATGAGAGAGAGAGAGAGATTTGTCTTGTGCAAAACAACAGGAGTGATATGTAGTCCATAACAAATCTTATACTGAGTCTCTCTCAGTCTATTAAATGTAGAGATAGGTTTGACCAGGGCTTCCTGCCAGTCATCCTTTATAAATGCTGTTTAAATCCATTTCACTTCATTTATGGGCAACATTTGGCAGCTTGTTTGCATCAGAGGATGTGAGTAGAGAGTGAAATGTGTAATGGTGTGTGGGATATTTTCAGCCCTTTGGACCGGAGCATCATTTAAACACCACAGCTTACCTGAGTGTTGTTGCTGACCATGTTTATCCCCCCAAAAAAGAATAGTAATATAATAAGTATAGTCATTTTTCTAACATATTTGATGAATCTTAGTCATCCTAAAGGTTTCACAAATGTTTTCTCCTCTTGTGTTTCTCAGTATAAAACGCTAAAACGCTTTTGTAATGTCTGAACTGAGCCACTGAGAGGCGATACAGAGAAAACAGAGTCCCGCTTCAGGCTGCGGGTCCAGCTCTTCTCTTCGCTCGTCATCCGCGAACAAGAGGAAGTGAACAGGAACAATAACAGCCGACACACCGGAGACCACAAAGAGGGCAGGCAGCAGTGTTATCTGTGACGGCAGCGATGGAGGAGTATAACTCTGGAGAGGAGGTACGGCTTTCTTTATGAGCGAAGTTCATCCAAAGGTCCGCAGCCAGCAGTAAACTTACAGCTAAATTAGCTAGCTGCTAGCTTAGCCTGTTAGCTAGGTGTGGTCCTGTTATCAGATTTATTTAAGGCGATAACATTTGTTTTAATTTAACCCAGCCTCAAATACAATGAAGGGAAAATGTGATCATGCAGTTAATCATCTGATATTAATATTAATAACAAATAATACAGCTTTCTCTATCCTCCTGATGCAAACATCCTTCATTGTGGTGCACTGACATTGCTTTCCAGGTCACAGGGATAGGAGACGAGGAGGCACAAATTGGAGAAATGAGAAAAGCCTTCAGGGGTGTCCAACTCCAGGCCTCAAGGGCCGGTGTCCTGCAGGTGTTAGATTTGTCCTTGATCCAACACAGCTGATTTAAATGACTAAATTTCCTCCTTAACATGTCTCGAAATTCTTTAGTGGCTGGTAATGAATAAATCGTTGATATCTAAAACCTGCAGGACACTGGTCTTTGAGGCCTGGAGTTGGACACTTCTGTGGTTTGGTCTCAAATCTCCATTATACAAAGCAATAAATCCTCTGCCACACAAACAGGAAGCGCAGTAGGACAAGAACTTCCTGCTCTCATTAAAAATAAAATAAAATGGTTATTAGTTACTTGCAGAGGTGAGGGCAAGCTGACTCATTTAGTAATACTTAGTTTAACTGTGATTTGATTCAAAAATGTAATTAATGCAACTTTAATTTCAAAGCAGAATGTCGACCTTAATGAGAGTTCAGTGGTGCGTTTATGGGCACGTTATTTTAGAGAAAATACACACGCATATAAAATTACCGAAGCGTGCATTTAAAAACAAAACAAAACAAATGAAACATGGACTTGGATTTCTATGTGATTTATTTAGGATGATTTCCAGTTCAGATTATTTTTACTCAGATTAAAATGAAGTCTTTAACTTTTTCTTTTTAAACCAGCCGCCTATGACATCACCAAGTTTAATCAAAATGTACTTTTTGAAGTTTTCGCCAGTGAATTGTCAGAAAACAAATAAAACATCCAGGATACAAATGCACGTCTCTGTCCCTCTGTGTCATAGGAGTTCATTTGTGCAGTTTTGCAGTTGAAACTATGACGTATCCTATGATATTGGTGTCAAAGTTGCCTGTAAAACAGATTTTGGTTTGAAATTCTCACTTGTCGTTTTTAATCTCGTGTACTGGGAAAAATATGATGAATTAAAAAGGGCCAAATTTCAGCCTGCCCTGTGTACTTCAAGGACCTGTAATGAGGACTATTTTTGTAGCATGAACATCAGATTTCGCGTCACTTGATTAAATATACGAAAATGACCGCACACAAAATCTGTTGATGTTGAGGGATTCAGGTGGAGGCAGTGATTGAACATTCATGGAATAACCCGGAGCCTCTTTGTGGTTCTTTTAAAACTGATCCTGCAGGTCGGCTTTAATCCCGATGAGATCAGTGTCTCGGTAAAAGAGGTATGTTCTCTAATCTTTGGAAACATTCATAATAAACAGTATTTTAAATGCAATCAGATGGATGGATGACTTCCCGTTTACTGATTTCATCTCAGTGCGTTGAAGGCGTCATCGGTGGAACAGATTATAACCAGAGTAAAGTCAACCAGTGGACGGCCAGTATAGTGGAGCATTCACTCACTCACCTGGTGAAACAAGGGCGGGCGTTCAAATACATAGGTGAGCAAGTCCCTGTGTTCGATAACGTGAGCTTCCAGGACATCAAGCTTATTTGTAGCGTTTGTGTGTGAGGGTAAGCATGTGTTTGTTGTAAAGCCGCTCTCTGATCTGTCCCAGTGAACTGTACGATCATGCAGAAGAGCGGCGCTGGGCTCCACACAGCCAACTCCTGCTACTGGGACACAGCCACTGATGGTGAGACACTCAAAAAAACAAACAAAGATTATTTCAAAATCATTTAAATCCAATATTTTTAATTGGAAGTGGCACAAATGATAACACATTAGAGTGATGTGCCACTTTTTCTCCTCCACATCCAAGAGGAGAAAATAATCAGTTTTATCTAGTGATTTTATTTATTTTTTTACTGATTTAAAACAAACAAAAAATAACCACAACAGTCAAAATACAGAGGTACTCAATCACCCACAGCATAAAATAGAGGAATGATCTTATAATAAAAATATAAGTAGATGGCCGGACCAGCATAGACCTGCCTGCAAGCAGATGAAATCATAATGAAACCTAAACGCGTTCTTGTAATTATTAATCCCATGGAGGAAATTAAAACTCCAAAAATATTTTCAGCACATGGAGCAACTTAACTGTTTGATCTACACTCTGGACGTCGTCACCAGTTACTGGACTTCTAATTTTTTCAGACTTTCATTAAAACTGAAACGTCCCTGTCGACAGGGAGCGCTCCTAAAGAAGTTTCTGGGACTGCTTCACCCACGACCAAGGTTCATGGAGAAGAGGATAAGTTAAAGGCTCAGTTTCCCACACATGGATTAAGCCTAATCTTAGAAAACTTTGATTATGATTGCCATTGAAAGAAGTTTTTAGTCAAGGACTAGGCTTAAATAGACTGGAGAGACTGATCTTTTATTCTTTTCTCTATGTAGCTTAGAAGTTGGTGAAGTTGTGCCAGAAACCTCCTTTCTGTTTTTTGTTTTCAAATGTTAGAATAAATCACATTTTCTTGCTATAATGCAGAATCTCCATTTAACCTTACATACACAGAAGCTGGAGAACCCACACAGGCTCAGAAAGCGCCCAGAGAGGGGGTGAATTCAAACCCAGGACCTCCTTGCTATAAGGCAACAGTGCTAACCACCACACCACTGTCCTGCCAATTTGGAGCTATAATTGTGGAAATAACAATAATAATAGTTAATATCCGTGTTTGCATTTTACATATGACACTGATGTTACATTTTGGATTAAACCGGGTTAATTAATTTATGAGAGGTGGGTTGTAACACCCCCCAACACTCAGACCAGATTTGCCTCCCTTATGTTGATGCATGGTGCCATGGTTGTTGGTCAGTTTTTTTTTTTAATCTATTGAATAACTTGCCCACAAAACTGGTTTATAAATGGAATCATAAAAACATGTATTTCATGTATGATTTGGAGTAATTTCCTCTGCTTGTCTGTGGGTTTTCAGGGAGCTGTACTGTCAGGTGGGAGAACCGCACCATGTACTGTGTGGTCAGTGTGTTTGCTGTAGCTGTGGCGCTGTGACAGCCCTGCGCCCACCTCTCCATCTTCGAACACTGTCATGTCTCAAACTTTGCTTGAATGACACTGAAGATCCTCTGATTATATACCCTCTGATAGACGCTGACCTACAAGTATCTATTTCTCCCTGCAGGCAGGAACAACAGTTTTGGTTTGTGAGTTGGCAGCCTGTGAGTACGTGCAGGTCTGACAGTGACAAAATGTTGTTTGGTCTGGACTGGAGTCATGATCTGCAAACTGTTTGGAAAGTACTTTTCAAACATGCTCAGGTGTTTTCTTTGGCCCAGAAGTACCACATGTTGACTGTATTTTTTTTCCTGTTGTGTAAAAACAGATGACTGCTCTTTGTGTGCAGCAGGAAGTTTACATTTGTGTTTTTGACTGAAATATCTGAACATTCATTGGATTGTTTCTTATTAAATTTAGCACTGATATTCATCCCTCAGGAAAAACTATTAATTTTTAATTTTAATTGATGACATTCCTTCAGTCTCAACTGTGCTTTGTGCTGCTAATTAGAAAATGTTAGCATGTTTGCAACTTTGTCTCCTTCACTATGTTCCCTTAATAGAAACTGAACTACGACTATAAGAAGCTTTGTATGTTAGAGAAGCTCTGTTTAAGTAATCACTACAGTATACTGTGTTTCTACTAGTCTATATTAATATTTTAATAAGTTATTGAAATGTTTAGACAAAACAACAGTGTTTTTCCTGTGATGCATTTAATGGTCAGTCCCTGTAACCAGGATTTTTTTTTCCTTTTCTTTTCTTTTTTTTTTTTTTTAAGATCTTCTGTATTACTGTTGAGTTCAAGACTGTTTTTGTTGAATTTTGTCCAATAAAGTCTTTAAAGATGTTCCACAGTGTGTTTTCGTGAGCACTGATAAAGAAGCTGAAGGCCAACACCTTTGGATGAGAGGATGGATTTAACCAGTGTTGGAGTAAAGCGTACACTCTAGTTTCTGGTCTCTTCATAGCACCACATTTGCTTAAACTTGCCTTCAACTCAGTGTAGCATATTTTTGTATACCACTTGGAGCATTGTGTATGCATTTCTGGCACTGCTCTGGAGTGATTCAGAGCGTACCTGGCTCAGAGAACTTTTCATATTAGTCATGTGGGGTTCCACAGGCCTCAATACTTGGGCCTCTGCTATTGGGAAGGATGACTGCTTCATTCAAATTTGAATTGAGTGTCTTGAGAAACTAAAAGCTTGGATAGCTCTAAATCTTAAGCCTAAGTCCTTAATTTTAAGAGGTGATTGTTTTTGTTTCTGATGTCACCGGTGGGACTTACCCTATGGCACAGTATGGATAACCTACTGTCACAAACTTTTGTTTTAGGATGGACAGCGGCTTTAGACCGGATGGTCAGATCAGTGCAGTGGTGAAATCCAGCTTCTTTCAGGTGAGACAGTTGGTGAAGATTAAAAAAAAACATTGTTGAAATCTAATTTTAAAACCATAATCCACATCTTTACCATGGGATTACTGTAATTCTTTGTATGTTGGTGTTAGCCAGTCCTCCCTGTCTCATCTTCAGCTGGTGCACAATGCTGCCACACACTTTTTAACTGAAACACAAGTTATTCTCAACATTTACGTCAAATTTATTTTTATTTCTGATTAAATATCCTGATTTTCTCTGTGTCCACCTCCACCCCACTGCAAAGTCTTTTATAAAGGGTGTGCCAATGCACCTTTGCTAAAGTAGATAATTAAGTAAACAGTGGGCGCCTTTAATTTGCATTTAGAGCATCCCACTAGCCACACAGATCCCTCCCAGGTCACTTCAGTAAGTCAGGATAGAGCAAAATTCACTAGTCATCTGCAAACGAGGATTTGCTAAAACAGGCAGTTTCACTGATCAACCACTAGAGGTCAGCACAGATTCACATTGCGTGACAGATCAAAATAATGCAAGACAATATTCACATATAAATATAAATTTAATTTCTTTTTTTTTAAAGTACGACTTCATATTTTCAGTGCCTCCTTTTGTGTCTCTATATGTTTGATGTGTATATTAATTTTTTTTGGCTTAAACAGTGCTTTTCTTATTTGTACAAACATAAGAAGCATTCATGTGATTCCCGAGGTCATCATCTCTCTGCAGACACGTTGCAAAAAGTAGTTAGTGCAAAAACAACCACAATCACATTCTCTCTTTCTCTTGCTTTCTTAGTACATTAAAGGTTGAAATAAGAATAAATACTTTTAACAGTTCAAAACACAGACTCTTTTTCAGTTAGATACAGTAAATGTTTCGCGTGCACTCAGTGTAAATTTTCCAACTAAAGAGACGGACAGACAGAAACACAGTTGACAGACATAATAGGCAAAAATAAGAAAAGGAAAATGCAAATACATCCAAACAAAGCACATCACTACAGCTGCTGCTGCTCAAAAAATGAACCAAACCACCAAAGTCCTTTCTTTTTTTGTGTAAACGTGCAAAAGTCATTGGGAATGTCCGTGCTTTACAGTAACAGTATGTCTGGCGATGGAACAGGCTCTTTTACAACGTGTGGCGATTAACATCTCATCATCAAACACGAGCACATCACGAAAGCAGCGCGTATTAATCTTAAAGCTCTTATTAAGGAGTACAAAAGCATAATTGTGGCCAAAAAAACCGGCTCTCCCCCTCCTCTGCAGAGTAACCAGTTACACCTCGTCTGAGGCTCCACACATGCACGCCTCCATGCCAAAGAGACACTAAATACAATCACTTCAAATGCATTGGCTCCTTGTGATCAGTAAATGCAGCATATACGTGGACACGGTCTCCGAACCTAAAGAAGAGAGTGAGGTGATGGTGCCTGTGGGTTTTTTCTTGGTTTTAAAGGCTGCAGGATGAATTGTTGGCATGTAGTCTGATAAGACAGGCTGCGCGTTTACAGCAAGGATAGCTCTCACGTTAAGGACACATTTGCTTCATGTAGAATTGCAATGGATGTATGAGGGATCCATGTGGCACTTAAAAAGATTAAAGAAGGTTAGATAATGTCCTCTTAATGGCACGTAAGAATAATTCTGATGCGTTAAACGGTGCAGGGTACACCGTGTCTAATGTCGCCATTTATTCCACCTCCTATGTTGCTGTCCATTTCGTTCGGCGTGTCGAAGGTGGTGTCATTGAGCATGTCATACGTCGTGTCGTTAGGCATGTCGTCTGTGCTGTCGCTGGCTGTGTCGTGGGGCCGCTGTGTGGCTGGCTCTTTTGGCGCAGATGGGGTCGGGGCCTCCTTCACCATGGGCCGGTTCTGTGGAGAGCCAGAGCTGCACATCAGGCAGAGAAGTGAGGAGCAATCCCAAAGGCCCTGGGTCATGCTGGAGGAGAAGAGCCTCCGACATGGGTGGCAGAATTGGTAGAAGACCAGCATGAAAAAGATGGCGATGGCGTAGGCTACCAGCAGCTGCAGCACCAGCAGCGGGGCACAGATGAACTTGTAGATGTCTGTTTTATAGATGTACCAGAGCAAGAGCAGTGAGGCATTTTCCACAAAACGCAACATGTAGTACACGGCCATGCGATACCAGTTCTGGGACTTGTTGATGAGGTCTGGGTCACTGAGTTTCACCTGCACGGCAGACCAGCAGAACATGTTGATGCCAGCATAGAGGAACGTGAGCATGCAAAGCACGATGGTGGTTCCCACTCTGGTCAGAGTTTTTTCTATATTCTCAGGGAAAGGGGAGTGGCTCTGCCAGAACAGGATCCAGGGGTAGAGGAAGAAAACGAGGAAGTTCAGCAGAACCACGGGCAGGATCCAAAGCTGGAGCACCGAACTGAACAGGACCAAAACCACAACGCGAGTGGCGATCTCAAAGCTTCGCCACAGGAATATGCAAACATAAGCCATAGGCCGGACGTCCACTTCATAGTCATCATATTTGATCTTGATGGCCAATATGTTGCAGCGCAGGGCTCCATACACAATGGACAGGAGGGAGATCACCATCAGTGTGCCTGACATGCAGATAGAGACAGAGTCATTTTTTTTAAAAAGTTGGAAAAAATAAAACAAACAAATCTGCCTATAAATCAGTGAAAGCACGTCTCCAGTTTAGGATACTTTGCAGCTCATTCCATGTAAACACTGCTTCGTTCCTGAAAAACTCTTCTACCAAGGTGAGTGTGTACATGAAGTACTGCGTTGCCAGATTTCTGAGAGAAAAAATATGATAATAGAGCTTTAAACTCACCATCTACTTTGTAAGGTACATCTGCTTAACTGGTAATTAAGATAAATATCTCAATCAATCAATCAATCAATCAATCAAAGCTTTATTCGTCACATGCAGGTTGCCCTGCAGTGAAATGGGACACACCCCCCCCCCCCCCGACCTTACACATACACATATAGCACAAACATTACATGGGGATACAGGTCGGAGATTGGTAGAATCACAGAAAAACACTGAAATGTACACTACAATGGGAAAGTACAAGAGGAAAAAAAGAGACCCCAACTCATGCTGTGCTTCCATGGTAGGACAGCATGAGAACAGGAAACAAAAAAACTCCTCTGCACAAAAAAGCACATAAATGTCCACAGCACAACATTGTGAAGACATGACAAGCCACAGGGGTGGGTGGGGGGTGAGGAGTAATCCGAAGCGAACACAGCAGCCGCCCTGCACAGCGCTACCATTCCAGCGCGGCACACAGACCCGCCGTGTTCCCTCGCAGGAAACAAGCATCGAAGGCGTTGGAAAGGGAGGGGGGATGAGTGCCTATCAGTGTAAGTCTAAGTGTATGTGTGCGCGTGTCCATAGTTCAGCGGTCGCATGCAGCAACTCAATTTAGGCATTCGTACACGATCAAAGCAACCTGCTGAAGTTAAACTAAGCATCAGAATGGAGAAGAAGGATGTTTGCGTTCGTTTTTCAGAAACTGCTAATCTACTGGGATTTTCTAACAACTGTCTCCAGGGTTTACAGAGAATGAAAACAAGAAAATATCCACTGATGACTATGAAAGCTGTCACACAGTGTTATCACTGCAGTGACGTTGGAGCACTGACAGAACGTCTCACTCAAGGACAGATATGACAGGCCACTGCAGACTCATTTCACAGCTGGAAGAAAACAGACGTCCTGTGCATATAAAAGAAGCTTGGTATGAGTTTAAATTTCTGCTGTCAAAATTACTATGTTTTCTGTAATATTCGAGAACAGTAATAAGGCTGACATTTTTAGTTTACACTCGCAAGAAAATAAAGATGGGATCTTAAATTGGCAGTATGAGTATAAATGACTATAGCAATATGGGACCATTATTTTAGGACAGATTTAAAATATGTAATTTAAGATTTTCATGTTTGGGCTATGACACAAAATAAGACTGAGATATTTATAAAATCTTTTATTTTGACCCAATTCAAAGACCAGATGTCCTAGTTTGACTGTTTGAACCCTTTACTCGATTTCTCCCAGGAATACTCAGGAATAGACCTGCTCACCCCCCCCACTCCACATACACAGAAACACACACAGCCTGGCTCCCTGTTGGCAAACAGAATCACCATTTTCCATCTTTAGTATCAGAGAGGCGGTTACATAACACCACTTTGACTCATGAAAACATCCATTCTCTCATTTCCAATATCGCACTTAGCTGATCAGCCCACATTGTAGAGGACCTGTGACGGACTCTTAGCAGAGCCGGATGGGTGGACGATCCATAAAACTGTCCGGTCCCACACAAACACACGCTTACATCATACGTGCTCCCCTCACCTCTTCCGATGGACACCCCTTGTTGCAGGACGCAGATGTAGAGCTGCAGCGT